GAAGCCGCGTGGCCCCGGGCGCCTGGCTTCTGGGGCTCCTCGGATCAGTCAGAAATCGGTTAACTTTAAGCGGAATCGGACTCTTTCCGTGTTTGCCCGTGCCCTGCCGCACAGCTGCCCCGCAGGCGCGGGGCGTTGCCGGGGGTGTCAGCCAGCAGCCGGGCCCCAGGCTCGGCAATCCCTCCGTGCCATCCTCCCCCCCGTAGTTCTGTTACAGGCAGCTGGCCGAGGCTGATGGTCGCTTTGCATTTAACCTCTCCCATGGAAGTAATCGTGGCTATCGCCCGGTATCCCAGAGCTCCTCAGCAGCCCTTCATGTGCTGTGCTCTGCTAAGAAAAACCTCTGCTCTCGAGGGTCTCAAGACTGGCACAGACAAAGACGTGGCAGCCGCGTCTCGGTAGCGCCAAGAGCGCAGCAGGCAGGGAGCTGGGAATGAGGGGAGGAAGCTACACTGGAAAAATAGTTGTTCGTTTCCTGTTAATGGTGTAGCGAAAGCCAGAAGGCTTTGCTGGCAGGTGGACCGCTGCAGTTCACTGCTTCTGGCTTTCTCCGGAAATGTCCACATTTAAACTCTTCACTGAATCTTGAGAACTTTGCAGTGCAGGGTTTGCTGCTTGCAGTCGTTAAAATGGAGTGTTTTCATCGTATTTCATCCTTAAAAGCCCGATTTTTTTTTAAGTAAGTCTTGTCTTTGATAGGCCTTTCAGAAATATTGGGGTCAGGGTGTCTAACTGACTTGCTTTTTCTCAGGCTGTTCTACTGTAAGATTAATCTTTAGTAAAGTTTATTTGTGGACTGAGATTTGAGCCTTTAACTGGTCTTATTTGTGTGTGAATTATGTACACATGAAGTTTGTTACTCATGATTATGCTAATTATTAAAATCATCTTATGTATTCTGTTGTGTGCTTTGGGTTTTTTTTTTAGTGTTTGTGTGGCTACATATACTGGAGTATTTGTTTAGTCAGCTATATTTGAGCTATTTTTTTTAACTAATGGGAACCTTTGTGTGCACTTCTAAAAAAATGGATGCATGTTTTTTGTTGTTTTAACTGGCTTGCAATGTCTGAAAATCGCTTTTAGTTGAGTCAAAATATAGCCAAGACAAACTCATTCTGGCCAAGTTGCATCTGCTTGTCCAGACACCAAGATTTCACAGTTGAAATCTGTATGCCCTACATACACAGCGTAGGCAAACTTGGCGAGGTGGCAGGAGACGGTAAAAGCAAAGGTGGCACGACTCCACTGAACTTTGCTAAATTTGATACTGCTCACCGTTGATGTTCTCTGAGCCCAAGCCAGTGTACAAATCCTGGTCTCTGTGGTGTTTGACTATGCCAGAGGGTTATACCATTTTCCTGGCTGGGTGTAAGTGCTTTGTGTAGACTCTTTAATGGTTTTTTTTTGCCATGAACAACTTCTACACTTTATTTTGTGAAATATAATGGATAAAAAGATAGCACTGTTTATCTCCCAGACTTCACTGAGAGGTGTCGCTCAAGGTAGACTGTGCAAAAGTGATTCCTGTTTTCTGTGTTGCACAGTAGAGCATATAATTAACTGCAGTAACATTTGACACCTCATGAGAGTGTTTGGGTAAGCTCATACCTCTCTGGCTATGAGAAGTATGTTCTAGGCTTGGGCAGTTTTTGCTGTGGTGTTCGTATTTTTTTTGGCTTGCACTCTTTGAGGCTGCCGTCCTCCTGAGGAGGAGCTCAGGGTTGCGGGTGTGGGGTTTTTTGGGGTTTGGGTTGTTTTTTTTTTTTTTTGAGCACCAGAGTTCCTACTGTGAAGCACAGGCTGGAAGCTGGAGTTAGTTATGACTACCCCATCCTGCCACATTTCACATGAAAGTCCTCTTGGACTGAGAGCTGGAGTTCGTGTTAGTAAAAGTCTCTGAGTGCTTACCACCGTTACGTTTTTACTTAGTAGAAATAGCAACAGCAGCAAGGATGATGCATTAGTGTAATTTGCATTAGCACAGTCAGCTGTCAGCCCTGGTCTTTGCAGCGTATTGTGGATAGCAACTTGAGGTGCCTGGCATCTCTGTGATATACTGATTTTTGTGTGGGTCTATTTTAGGAGAATGTGTTTATTGGTCAATCCAAAATCTACAGCTACCTGAATCCTAACAAAACTCCTGGTGCTCGCCCCCCACTTCAAGAAGAAAACTCTGTCATGTATCACGAGGTGAAATGTCAGGGCAAAACACTAAAGGAAACCTACAGGAAAGGAGATGGTAAGATTGATCTTTGGATTATTTGCCTCATTAAATGTGCTCCTCCCACCCCCAATTAAGAAAACTTTAATACATGTCCAGAAGGCCAGGCAGCTCCCCTGGCCCAGGTGCTTTTCCAGTCCTACAACTCTATTGACAAACTGGGACTCTACAAAGATGAGGTGTCCTTATCCTTTTCAAACCTGAGGTCACGGGCTTAGCAGGCAATTCGTCCTCTGTTTTTTGTCTGGCTATGTTTGCATTGTCTCTCTGGATATAAAAAGCAAATGCTTGCATTGTCAATACGCCCTAATCTCCCTGCAAATACTACTCTGATTCTTCAGGTCAGTGTTTGGCAGTTATCTAATTTCTTTTCATCTGTTTTATTACCTAAAACTGGTTGGTTCTATCATTTGACTACTTTATACTAATTTATAAAAAGGCAATTCAAAGTCAAATCAGGTGTGAGGTAGTGGTAGAAGAAGAAACAATTCTTAAATTTTCAGGGTGAAATAGAGGCAGTGAGAAGGAGGAGCACAGACTGTGGATGCTGAGTGCCAGGCTTCATAGATGCTTCATTGTAGTGATTCTTCAGTGTAGAAACAGGAATGTTCTATAAGTTTGGGGAGGGGGGGAAGCTGGCTTGTGTTTAAAGGTGCATTTAATAACCTTGGTAATTTGTCAAAACATTTTGATGCAAACACTTTTAGCAAGCAGGTATTTTAAGTCCCACTCAACACAGGATGTGTCAGGTTTTCTGGCAACTTAGGGCCTTTAGCTCCTCAGTTTTGACAAGAAAGTGAAGATGGCTTTAGCTTGTCCCAATGCTGTGGCCTTGCAGCTGTGCTTTATTTCTCCACTGAGATTGAAGCATCTGTCTCAGCAGATGGGACTGTTAAACCTGGTGATTTGCTTTAAATAAAAGCCTTATTCAGCTTTAAGCCATGCTCGCCTACCTCTAAATCAGTTGGCTGAGAAGGAGGATGTGGTCGTATCAAGGTAGGATGCATGCAACCAGGAAAATGTTGGGTAGGGGGTGGGGTAGGCTTCTTGTAAGTCCCAGCCCCTTAGCTCCTGTGGATTTTGTCTGAGTGTTGTTGGCCACTTGGTACCAGCAGCTACTGATCACAGCAGGGCAGGATCCAGAGAGGCTTCCTCTCCCTCTTCAGTGCAGGATGTTGATTGGCTTATGGCAACTGGATAATTTAGTATGCCAGACGCAAGCTGTGCAGTTGTTCCAAACACTGCACCGAAGATGCTGCACGTTCAGGTTTGGAAAACTTGTGAGTCGCAAATCTAATGTGACAAAGTATTTGGGCTGTGTTTTACCCTTTCCCTTTCTCTGCTCGCCACTCCCTCTGTACTAGGTGTACTGTAGCAATGGCTATCAAAAGTTGAGTAACAGCCTGTCTGGGTTCTAGCAGAAGGAGATTGTATCATTCCCTTCCTCTTTCTCCTGTTTGACAGGACTAGAAACCATTGGAATTCATTTAAAGCACTCTGGTATAGATGATCCTAAGTTCAGAGCCTTACTTTATTTTCCTGTCACCAGAAAAAAAGAATGGTGGCAATATAATTGAAGGTGCTATGAAACCAGAAGACCAGAAGGATAAAGAAAGTGGGTGCAATAGTTCGGTGCCCTCCTCTGATCAAAACCAAGAAACCATAGAAACCCAAAAGACGCCCCTGCCTTCAGACTGTGCTGATGAGGCCAATGCAAAGCCAGCTCAGAAAAAGATGGTTAAAGCAAAACGTGGACCAAGGAGAAAGTAAGCGACTTCTGGAATTGTAAAAGCTTTTCTTCTGTGTGTCCTTTTGCACCAGGAGGCTTTGATCTGCATTTTTCCTTCAGGAACTACAGTCAGACCTGTAATTAATGTTATGCTTGTTTTGTTGCCTTTTTTTAAGCAAATGGTTATGTTGGGGGGAACAAATCTTAAAGGAAACTGCTTTGCTTTCTCAAGAATAATATGTTTGAAAATACAAAGTAGCACCCAAAGTATTTATCTATCTTGCAGAGGGCTTTTGTTTTTCTTGAAAACAAGGCTAATGTATTTTATCTCAAGTGAAATATTTGCTGATCACCTATAGAAAAAGAAACTAATGAGCCATTAAAACCTACTTTTTTGTGGATAAATGGGAATGTATCTTGTCAGAAGCAGAATATTAGATTAATTACAGTTGGAGGCTTCCTGGCTGAGCTTATCCTCTTTCTCATGATATCGGAGTAATGTGACCTAACATTAATGAATTCTTTGCCAAGCAGTTTTCATGACCTAAATCTTAGAGTGCCTTCTGGCAAGGCACACGGAGGGCTTCAGACTTGTAATGTGACCTTCAGTTGGTTTCCAATGGCATCTCCTTCTCATTGTTAAAGAATTAGTACTAGAGTAATGGAAATAGCGTGGGGGAGAAAAGGGGATGTAGCTTTTGGCTTGAAGTGAAGAGTACTGATAAGACACACTGATTCATATAGATCACCTCTCAACACACCAAGCTGAAAATAAAAATTTATTACAGATACCTCTGTCCTAGAGGTGTAACTTCATAAATAGTCTGAAATATGTGTGTGTCTGGTTTTTTCTTATCCTTTAGAACTCAAGGAAGAACACCAAATCGAAAAGTGACAGATTATTACCCAGTTAGAAGAAGTTCCAGGAAGAGCAAATCTGAACTGGAGGTAGTGCGTATTATTAAAATAACATTACTATAACATTGCCGGTTAATTGAAGGTTTGAGGAAGTGTGAAACTGTCTGTATTTACAGATATTTACAGATAGGCTTCCATTGGCCAAATACAAATAGCATTGTGCGCTGGAAGCATTGTTAAGAACATTCTTAAAATTTGGAAATGCTGATCCAGTTCTTCTGAGATGGAACCTAGCTGCTTATATGTTTTGGGGGGCAGAAATCTGTCTCTTTACCATTCAGTTTTGCTAGAGATACGGGATGGTTTGGAAAAACGAGTGTCACTGGCTGATAATTTCCTTTTAGCTATAGAATAAGCTACAAAAACTATCAACAATACTGTGGTTTTGTTTGTTCTTGTTTCTTCTGCAGACTGAGGAGAGAAGGAAAATAGATGAGCTAATTACAAGTGGGAAAGAAGAAGGAATGAAGGTAACCGCAATGCCAACCTGAGTAGCCATGTACTGTTTATACAGTATCTTGCTGTTAATCTGTTTAAGCAAAAGTAGCAGAACTCAGAACTGCTGCAGTTCCTCAGTAGTAAGATAAAAGTGCAGCAAAACTGGAGCACACTGTCTTCCCTTTTGGATGGGCAATATTTGGCTCTGAAGAATAGGTGTATGCAGCCTCGGTCATAAATATTGAGGGATTTTTATAGTCTTTACTGAAAATGCACTTGCTCCCTTTAGTATCTCATTTCTTGGATTAGCTTCCAGAAATGGGGTTAGATACAGCATCTTAGTTGTCCTGTGTTTTAAAGGCAACACTCATATGTACTGCCTCTATGGTAACAAATTCTTTTAGCCTGTTTACAGCCATTTGCTGTGGGTCTTCATGATGGCATTTTGGGATAATGGGTTGTACTGGTTTTCCTCCCACTGCTAGTAAATACTAGTTACTGGGACCAAGTGCTTACCATTTGGGTTACTCTGATCAGACTTTAAAGCAGAAATGGCTCCTGGAAGTGCAGAAGAGCTGTGATTCTTGAAAAGCAGCACCCTGCAGTTAACACTATCACACCTACAACGGTGATAGGAGAAGTTTCTTGAAGTTGTCCAATTTACAGGGGGAGGCAGGAATAATAAAGTATACTGGTGTGTGATGACTGTAATTACTGTGATCGATCTTTCTGTTCCTCAACTTGTTAACCTGTGCATGCTAATGGTGATGGTGCACCTGAAATGGAAAAGCTTACTGCCTCAGCTAATAGATCGTTTAAAAGAAAAAATAGATAACTCTACTCTGGTTTATTTAAATTAATTCTTAGTTCTTTGATTAGAAGACTTTGTATCAAAATACCTGGTAACTCATGGGGTGTGTCCCAAACTCATCCTATATTTCTTCTGCAATGCTCTGCATTGTGTTTCTACAGCTTTGCAACACACACAAATACCCTGCTGTAGCATTTTTTAATGACAAATCGCTCATTTCCTAGTTAACAGCATATTTGCAATCATGTAAATACTTTTTAATTTCCCAGCTGATTTTCTTTTCAACTCAACAGATTGATTACATCGATGGCAAAGGGAGAGGAGTAATTGCTACTAAACATTTTAATCGAGGAGAATTTGTAGTTGAATATCATGGGGATCTCATAGAGATCACTGATGCTAAAAAGCGAGAAGCTGTGTATGCTCAAGATCCATCCACAGGCTGCTATATGTACTATTTTCAGTACCTCAGCAAAACGTACTGGTAAGCTTCTCTTCCCCTAAGTGTCATAGTTGAGTGATAGAGGCTTTGGATGCTGCTAAGTCTCTTCTTGTTTTCATGCAAAATTTTTTTTAATGGGAACCATGAATTTGGGAATCTTTTTGGAGCACTGTTTCATGGTCCAAGAGCCTCCTGTACTTCTGGGCTGAAAGGAATGGTAGGTGACTCAAAGCCCTATTCTCTGAAGTACAGCACAAGCTCTGTGGAGAGTTGTATCTGCTTGGATGAGCCTTCTAGCTCCACCATGGACTTCTGCCTGTATTAATTCTCTTGTAAAATTAACTACTTTTCCTGAGTTGCAGGGATTTTGTTTGAAAAGCAGTATGGACAAACTCACTGGAAGAGAAACGTTTCCTTCAGCTGTCTTTGGCTGTGTCTCCTTCATTCTCTAGTACCTGACACCCACCCCGCATGCATGCTTATCCCTCTATTTGCTGTGTCATTTGCCCCGAACTCCAGTTCTCTCAAAGCAACTACTCAGACTACGTTCTTTCCTCCTTGGCTGATGTTACTGGACACTGGAGTGTGTGTCGCTTAACCTGTATATTAATTACCTTGAAGCGCCCTATATTCTGAGTGTCTGACTTGCAGTCTAGATGCCATAATGGCAACTGCCATAACAATTCTTTGTGCAATGAGGGGCACTAGAGCTTTAGTATCCAGGTCTCTGGAAGTTGGGTATGTAGTATTTAGGCATTCTCAGCCTTCTGTGTGAGTAGAGACTCTTGCTGGCTTAACCAGGCATACGTACTACTTAGCTTGGACACAGCTTTCTTGAGGGGAGGGTATTTAAGGTATCGAGCCTTTCTGGTGGTGGTCTACATCTGGATTCTTCTATTCCTCATGAACAGTTGAGAACTGCTTGGAAATAGGCAGCTTAAAAACATAGTCCAAAGTTTTCCATTTTCTGCGTTTTTGTGCTAACTAATCACCCAGAATTGCTTTAGTTTACATTGCCATATTATGTGCTGCGCTGTCTGTTTAATCATATGAATATTCTGTAATGTTCTGATTTTTCCTTCATTTTTCGAGCCTTGTGTGGATTCCTCATTCTTTATCTGATTTGCACTTTGGTTTTCGTCCACAAGCTTGACCGTGTGATATGCAGCAATCCTGCATTCTGTTCTTGTTCTTTTAGTGTTGATGCTACAAAAGAAACTAATCGTCTGGGAAGACTGATTAATCACAGCAAATGTGGCAATTGTCAGACGAAGCTTCATGACATTGATGGTGTGCCTCATCTCATACTGATAGCTTCCAGAGACATTAAAGCAGGTGAAGAACTGTTGTACGACTATGGAGACAGAAGCAAAGCTTCCATTGAAGCTCATCCGTGGCTGAAACACTAATTCATCTTCGTTTGGGTTGGGTTTTTTTTCTTTTTGGACTGAATGCTCTACAAGCAGTCAGTGGATTTTTCCTGCCCCCCCCACCCCCCCGTCCTTACTTCCCTCAGCTTTCTTAGTGGACTGCTTATGGTGTTCTGAGCTCCTTAAAAACTACCTTTTGGCTTTGCAGTATTTAAATACCTATTACAGTTTTCCAGGCAGGCTTGAATAATTGATCTTAGATTGCCAAAACTTTTATATCATAAAAGGAAACCCTCCCTAAAATTTGAATACTTCTACATAGTGACCAGTGCCACTTGAGCATGCAGTCAAAGACTTGCACAGAAACTTAATCACTTGGGTTGTGCTTCTGCTTTTGCAATGAAATCTCGTGCTCCACTTTGGGGGGTGATGAACTTGGCATTAGCTTTATGACAGCAGATGTACTTCTGTACTCCGACTCGTACATCCAATGGTTTGGCTGCTTGTCAGGCTGCTTTTTACAACCCAGTGCTGACAGGCTTCTCTGAGATGGATGCTACTATTGTTCTCAAATAATTTGTGGTAGGGATCCAGTTTTTCCAGTGTCGTATCTCATGTTGGCAATGAACTTTAAATGCACTGGTGCTGAGGGAAATGGATGGTCAAATTGACTGCTTTCTTCAGAGAAATGACTCCAAGCCAAATGAGGATGGATTTTGATAGACTGGGTTAATACTGATTAGGAATGTGAAGATAGAACTTTACAGTGAGAATCAATGTTTGACATTACTTATTTTCTAAAATTTAAGATGGTACCTTTTTATAGTTGATGGCTGATTCTTGGAGGTATCTCCCAGAGGATTTTAAAGAAGTAAAAAGAAAAAGCTCTCTCCAAAAATTCTTTTTATTACCTTCCTATGCTAATTAGCCACATCAGAAGCTATTTATTTACTGTGAATGCTTGAAGTAGAGCATAGCGGTTCCAAAAACAGGAGTCATCTTCATATGCAGCTTCAAACTGTAATGATGGAGTTCATGCAATGAAGAAAGTAGATTCCTTATTGCCTGGTCCTGTAGGTCTGTCCAGCGTGGTCTGGTCCCACTGTCTGAAATGAGAGTTGAGCGCTTAGCATCTTGCGGATGTTTGTAACGTTACTGTTGGAGAACCAAATCTGTGATATAGGCGGGCAATACAATGCAGGTCCTTTATGTTAAAGATGAATTCTTACCAGTTGGAATTTTTGCCAAGGCAGGCTTGGCATGTGTAGATGAAAATGGCTGTGAGCCATCAGCCACGCTTGCTGCTGGAAGATGTCGGCAAGGGAGCTGTGGCTCTGTTAATGTCCTCTGTTCCTTGTGTCTTGAAGGCTGCTGCTGTTCCAGCTAATGCCCTCTAGGACAATCTTATGTGCTTGCCTATGTGATAGGTCAAATAGCAACAGCATCCTGGTTGTATGCTCCAGCAGCAAGAGAGGTGGCTTAGTGATGTATTTTTTAAATTAAAAACTTGAAGACAATGTCTCTGTAAAATAAAGAATATATTTATTATTGATGAAGTGGCTGCTATAGTACCTGTCTCCATTGCAGATCATTAGCATTTTGAAAGAAAGCTGTGAAAATCATTAGCCATTAAATGCTTTATATTATTTACCACTTAACACAAGGCAAGCTCATCAGAGACAGCCTACGTATTTTCCCCATTTCTGAAGAATTAACTGGAGACCTCTTACCTTACATGTACTGAGTTACAGGTAAGCTTTGTTGGCTGACTTAGTTGAGTTGGCACCGAATTTTCTCTGGTCTCAGTAACGGGGACTACAGCAGTGTGTATAGTATCCTGTTTTACTAGAGCACTTCCCTTAAGTCAAAATTGGAATAAAATGCCTTTTTTTATTATTTAAACATTTGCTTGTTCTCTATCAGGTCAAATAGCTTAAAACCTCTGTTCTTCAGCATCACTTTTGTAAACAAGAAAGGGGGAAGATCTCTCCCTGTTTTACATAAAAAGAAAATTGTCTTCTCTGAAACGCTTAACTGGTAATCAAGTAGCACTGCATCGGAAGATGGTAATAAAGCTGATGTTGCACTGCATATGTATCCTTTACTTTTCTAGGAACTGATATATATATATATATATAATCTATATGAAAATACTTCTCACGGAAACATGCCATTTGGATTTTTATCTCTGTGCCTTACAGGAAGGTTTCACCTTCTAACAAGGTGTAAAGCACTTAGCAGGGAAAGGTGCCCTTGGGTTGGGAGCTAAACTGCTTTTGTCAGGCTCGCATGGCTTTGCCAGAGGCAGCGGGGTTGCTCTAACAGGACTGCAGCCTCTTCCTGTGTAGCCGTAGCCAAGGAATTTGCTCCCCTTTTGAGAGAGAAGCTGTGCAGCTCACTTGGCACCAGAGTGGATGCAACTGTGATGGTTCCAGAAAAAGACTAGCCCAAAAAGGTTGAGGTGTTCTCCTCCTGTCTGCTTTAACTGGTGAACTCCCACCTTTTTTTTTAATGGTAAACTGAAAATAATAATTTGCAGTTTTCATTATTGTCTCCTTCAGCTAACTGCAAAGAGTGGCCTAGGGCTATGTTAGTCTTCTGTGCCTCCATGGCAGGTTGTTACTTTTGCACGGCTCTGTTTAATTTGTGCAGTTTCTTACCTGAAGTTGTTTCATTAAGACTTAGTAGAGTGATTAGTGTGTCTTGGGGCATAATTCCCCCCCGCTTTTAAAGGAGATTGGAAAATATATCCCTGGCTAAGCCACAGAAGAGGATGGAGTTCAGAGCACATGTAAACATCTCTTTTTCAGCTCAGAGGTGTACCCTGGCTGTTGCTGATGCATGATTGTTTCTTTTCTTTTTCCTTTTTTTCTCCTCTCTAAACACAAAGCCTCTGCTAAGGAAATGCAGTAACTTCCTTCCCTGTTACCCTGCTCTAGCAAACGTGTCACAGGGACATGGCCAAGGTTTATTAATATTTTGAAGATGGCAAAATGACTTTAGCAGTTCTGTGCCCTGGCTAAACCAACTTGCTTAGGTCAAACATCTTTGATGTTGCCTTGCTAATGTACAGTCGCTAACAAATTCCCTCTGAAAGGAGACTGCAGTTCTGCCTTCTGCTGAGCCACATTTGCATTGTGCATCTGAGCAGATGTGTGAAGTGTCCTATATTTTTCATGCTGCTAGTGTATGAGAGGGAATCAAAAGATTTCGGAGCCTGCTCTCGCTTCTGAAGAGAGTAAGATCATAGTTTGATACCTGTCACTGCTTCTTTTATGTCTGTTCAGACTTTTCTGCTCTTGAAATGCTGCTTTTCTAAATGTGGAACCTAATTGGTATAGTTCAAGCTGCTTTTCTGTTTCTCTGTCCTATATGCTTCCACTAGTGATAAATCTCATTAGTTGGGCTAAAACACAGCTTGTGGCAGCTGACTGAAAGAACAGAGCATATGAAAAATACAACTGTCTGCCACAGGAGACCTTTAGCTGTCAGAAATGAAATGTTTGCTGCATCTGTTCCACTTTGAGCATGTCTGCACCTCTGAAAAGACATCAGTCCTTCGTGTGGGCAGAACACGATGCAGCAGCTTTTCTTCCCTTGCTGTGCTCTTCACCATCTTTCTTCTGGACCCCAAACAGCAGCTTGGTTCTGCTGTCACAGCCCAGCGGCATCTTCCTTTGGTGCAGGGTGTGGACAGCCTTCTGCCTGCTGCTGCCTGTGTATTGCCCGTCTAATGCAAAGGAAGACACAGAACGAAAAGCAATGCTGGGGTTTTCTTCAAGCAGTTCTGTGTTAGAGAATTACTTTCCGTGTAAGAGCAGTGGGGACTGCAGTCTGAATGGGTTTTTCCTTCCCAGTGCTTCTCTATGAATGCACTTGTGAACAGCATGTATCTCTTAAAAATATCTTCATCTTGCAAAATCATTTGGGCTGAGCATTTTGATAGGTGGACAGGATAAATAAGTGGTCGTACGGATCATCCCAGGCTCTTTTAATAATAAAAATCACCTTTGTATAAACGTTTATTCTCTACATCTGGGTAATGTCTGGCCAGAATCTAAGAAATACAAAAAGTGTCTGTCTTAGTTTTTAAAACAACAAAGTAAAATGTGTTCTGAAAGAATATTATACAACACAATTTTTATGAGATTGCTTATTCTCTACAGTAGGAGTGATGCTTTTTTTTTTCCCCCAATCATTGACTCCCCTAACGCCTTAGAGGCTCTCTTCAGTGCCATTTCTGAACAGAAGTGGTTATGTTCACAAGGATGCTCATTTTCCATGTTTAAAAGAGAACCTAAAAAAAAAAAGACAACAAAAAGGAAACAGTAATGTACAACTGGAAAAGAAGGAACATGAAGCGAGATGGCTGTGTCAATGTGTTCTGCTATTTTGGGGAACTTTAGGGACGCAGGCTGAGCTTGTTGGTGCTGCATACAGCTACTTCGTACGAAGTAAATGAACCTCCAGGGACAGCTGGCACAGTCCCGCAGCAGTGTCTTAATGTGCTAGCAGGGGAGGCGAGTATTGCATAGTTCTGCTGCGAAATGCTTATTTTTCCTAGAAAAAAGTGATGCCCTGCTTGCCCGGGTGGAGGTTGCCTTCCTGGAGAGTGCTTTTTCCACAGGAAAGGATTTCTCTATCGTGTTTTAATTTTACAGGGAGAGGAGGAGAAAACAATACCCAGCTAACTAGGCCAAAGTTCAGAATTCATCCCTGGATCCGCTAAGTATGAAGCATGCCATATTCTCCCATATTCTGCCAAAAAAATGCAGACAAACTTACAGCCGTCTGATGATTGTCTTCTCTTCGCTGTCCTTGCCTGTGCCAGGGCTGCTGCCACTGGTGGCTTTTTCCAGTTCTTCAGTTTGGTCCCTTCCTTGTGAGATGATCCCACTGGGAAAAGAAGTGGTTTTGTTTATTTTTTGTGGGTTTTGTGCATAGCGTGGCATTGCTGTCTATGTTAAACCCTTCACTGGGCAGCCTAGGACATGGGTGAACAGGCATTCACAGGACAGGTATGGCAGCCGGGCCTACTTCTGGTAATGAATTGCTCTTATTTTCCTTAAATACCGCAGTGTAATTTTGCTTAGGCTATGCTTTAATGAGAACGCTAAAAAAGTAACGAGCTGACTCTCCAGAGAGGAAGAATGGCAACTCATAACAGGAGTGAAAGGGGAATGTAATTACACATTGGATTTGTACAAGAGTCCAAAGGTAACAGTAGGGTGCAGACACAAATGGCGAATTTCTGCACGGGTGGATCTGTGGTACCTTCAGCGCAGCCACAAAGGCTCACACCATGTAGCTGGGAACAGATGGGAGATTCCCAGCTTCCCTGCAAGGCAGGTGGCTGTTCCTCTTTCCATCCTATAGAGGAGAAAAGAAAGACTTTTGCCTGAGCTGTAGATTTTGTCATCCTGCTTTGATGCTGCTACACTCTACAAGGTTGTAACCGCCTACTTTAGGCAGAAGCTTCAGTTTTACCAAAGGATGTTTCCCATGCTTGGAATCGGGTTAGATTTTACCAGCTTGCATACTACACTATGTTTTCACAGCGTGCCAATTTACTGTCCTGAGCTGACCTCGTTTATCTTGAGAGCTGAGTGGATCAAAGCTTGTGACTGCAGTAGCTGAAGGCTGAAAGTAGCTGAGCAATGCTCGTCTGGACCTTGGAAATAAAAATACAGGAGAGTATCTAGAAACTGGCGTGACATCAGGCATGGGATAGTTCTGAAGCAGATTCTCCTCTTAGAGAAACAGGACTGTGAGCTGTTTGGCGACAGTGCGGATTGCTAGTATCTGCACGATAACTTCTACTCAGAAGTTTTTTTTTTAATCATAATTAAAAATACAATCTCCAAACATCATCAGTCATTTTAAGCCATTCTCTGTGAGGAGGTCAGTTACCTTGTGCTATACAGAGCTTATTTCCAATATAGACATTTTAGAACATCCACTTGTATTTATCCTATTCCCCTGTGCAACTACTCTTTACGGCTGTACAATTATAATAAGGATTTTATGTGAATGTTTAAAGGGAAGATGGTTTTTGGATTAAGCTGTAACGCTGTACGAGGAGATAACCACAGAGGATTACTTGAACTGAAAAGCAGCCTTGATACACTCTCTAGGTGCACAGCACTGTGACTCAAATCACTCAAAAATTGAAAACATTCACACTGTTAATTGTTAACGTGGCCTGTAATAAGCTGTGTAACACGGCTGGGAAATCAAAGCAAGAAGCCATTCCAATGGCTGTACAGCAGGCAGCTGAGCTGGGGAAGCGGTGCCTCGCTGTGCTGTGAGAAGTGCTGTCGAGCAGTTCGTAAACTGACTTCCTGGATTTAACTTTAACTTCTTGGGCTTAACCTGCCTGTTATAGACAAGGCAAAGGGCGGGCTTACTGTATCTAAGGGTTGTTGCTGATATATCTCAACTGAAATCTAATGTGCCTAGACATTTTGTGTCTAGATTAAGAAGTAGTTTCTTACCCCAAAGAGTTTATAATACAACCTGGTGATGAGGGGCAGAGGTTGGGGGAGAGGGGCCTTGGAGGTGAAGGAATTTGTAGCACCAAGAGCACAGCACTTCCTGCATCCCACCCTTTGGCTCACACTGATTCTCCCAGGCTGGTCCCTTCTAGAAAAACCAAAATCCTTCTCTGCAGCACTTGTTTTGCACAGTTCAAGTGCCTTACACAACCCTCTGTTGGTGGTCTTAAAAGAAAACCCCACAGCTTATCGTGAATGATGATGGAAGGGCTTAATATTCTGCTTTCCAGATCAATGCTGTACCCACTGTGGGAGCAAAGAAACAGTATCCCCCGACGGCAAGCTGGAGGAAGAAGGAAATTTTGACTAAAGCTGAGATGGAAACCCCCATGCTCTTTGGTACGTAGCGGGGCTTTAGACAAGAACAGTATGCGTGCAACTGCTGCGACTGCACAGATGAGAACCCAGCTTGTATGTGGCGTGGGAGTAGCTGTACATGGGCGTACAGCAGCACAATTACAGGAACAGGCTGCGAACTGCGCAGAGTAAGAGGGAGTTTCATTTTAAAATGATGTTGCATAAAGACTTCATCGTTCCCCCATTTTTCTTTGCTCATTTGTAGGCTCTTGGGAGCACAGATGTCTCTCCTACGTCTGGACGGCACCTACCCCAATCTAGGTGCTCAAACCCACAATACTCTGATCTGGTAAGCTCCCCAGACAAGAACTGTTATTAGTTCTTTGCTGACTTCATGATATACCTCTTATAGCACTGTAGCTCCTCTTGCACCACAAGAAGCTGAGCTTTCAGCTGGTTACGCTCTTGCAATACTTCTCGCAGCTCCTGTAATGTGAACCGGGGGCGATTTGGATCTGTGAGGTCTATTATCATTTTATCTGGTCCAAGGGTGGGCTGTAAAATAAATGGTGGTGGTCATGATCTTGTAACCTGTCAAAAACAGGGCACTCATAGAATAAAACCCTCTGAATTCTGTAACTATGTAGTAATTCTGAGAACTAGTATGAGTTCATCACAATCCTGATTTTTTTCCAATCAGTTAATTACAGTTTTTCATATTTTTTTTGCATTCCCTGGGTGTCTGCATTTCCCAGGCAAGTATAGGGCCCAACTGCGACAAGCTCTGACCACAGCTAAAAGCAAAGTCTCTGTCCCAAAGAGTTTGCGATCTAGTTTGCCAAGAAGCTGTTTTGATCTGCTTTTCTGATGATGAGAGAGGCTGAGCAATCTGTCTAATGTCACACCAAAACTCTGCGGCAGAGAGTGGCGAGAACTGAATTTTCCTTTCCTAAATTAAGGCCTTTGTGGTGACGGCTTTTTCGGTCACAGACATCAGTTTCCTTTGCACAGAGTAAAAAAGCTTTAGCGTTTGCATAAATGGGAAATTGTCTTTATGGGGACGGTGTAAGAAAGAGCTGTGCAACAGTGGATTTGCATTCTGTGAAAATTTGCCCGTGTGTGTCTGAACTCCTCTGTTAGCACTATACGTCGCTGAGCTAAAAGCGTGGTTAGGCACTACAGTGAAACGGGAGCGAGGGGTCCGCGGCACCGCGACTGGTAACAACCCTGACAATCTCCGCTCTGGAAGGGGCTTCGAGGCCTTCTACGAAGATGAGAAGCCAACTTTCCGAGACTCGTTCTGCTGTGACAAAAGAGACCGGCGCTTGCGGCAGAAGCATCCACCGCCCCGATCTGG